GCTTTCAATTTCAGTTATTTCTTTTTTTTATTAAAAAATATTGACAGTTTATGGTGTGTTTTTATTAATGTGATACTTAGAAATCGTTGAACAATGTTCTGTGGGGAATGAATACACATTCTATCATATCTAGTGTTATCAAGGGAGGCTGACCAAAGAGTTTGTTGCCCGCATAACATTTTTAATTTTTTATTTTTATTTATGTATTTATTTATTTATTTATTTTGTCTTAATGAATTTCGCGACCATTTTTTTCTGTACATCGACCATATCGTCAGCGCTACATTTTCCGGTAAGCACTGTTTATTGTACATTGATGTGAATGATATCGGTAATAATTAATATATAATAATAAAAGAGTTCTTTAAATGCTATGAACAAAAAGAAATAATGAACTGACAATCGATTAACTTTTATTTGTATTACAAAGAGTGCGGAAGCAAGGAAATCTTATTATCAAAAGTTTACTCTCATTTCCTCACTGCCTAGCAATTTTAATTTAAAGAGTCAATTTTATTTGGCGGATATAATTCACTTTGTGTTGTTTTTAATGTTAATGCGAAAAGGAATTTATTTTATGCATTTTATAACAGTACTTTCATTGTGTTCTGCTATTTTTCGAAATTATTCACAAAATAATTACTTACTTACATGCACGGTACTTAGCGTCGTATTACAGATGATGCTATTTTTCCATAACCACGTTCTGGTTACACAGAATAAGTTTTTTTTAGTTATTATAACTTTACAAATGGCGTATTACATTACAACACTGAACTTTTTCTTACATGTTTTCTTTATGTAAATTTCTGAAATTATTTTTAAAAAATATTATAGTAGATCTTTTCTTTCCGCAAATTATGTCACACTTTTACGTATAATATATTTGTGTTATTAAAGTAACCCAATTTCCTATTTAGGAGAATTAGTTCGAGAAAAATTTCTTCTAGTTCATGTTATGTTATTTGAATATGGCAAAACAAACGATGGCTGCCTGCTTAAGAGAAGGGATGCCTTTGTGGAGGATTTTTAAGGGAAACTATCTCGTATTCACTTTACATATTAAGAAAAACATGAAAAACTACTATTCAAAAGTATTTCTTACTTGAGAGATTAACAGAATATAATTATGGTATTATTTTTTAAATAGATACATAAATTATTTAAATGATAACAGTATAAAAATAAGGAAATTACATTTCATCATTACCAATGTATGAAGGAAGTTAAAATCTCACTTGTGGCAAAAGTGAGTAAATTAAAATATTAATTTGTCTCCAAAAGTACTAGTTACTTCGTGTTATAGAAAAACCGAATTTCAAATTGTATTTTAAGAAAATTTAACTTATTGCAGAAAATTTTATTAATGTAATATAAATTACTATAAATTGAAATGTAAATTTAAGCCTCACCAATAAACTTTATTTGAAATAATAATTTTACTTTAAATTAATAAATTTCACTTCTGCAAAAAAGATATTTTATTTTTGTTATTAGAAATTTAAAAATTACATCTTATCCTCTAATTACGTCTAATTTAATTATCTAACCTAATTACATCTAGTTTTGCTTTAACGTATCTCCTGTAGAAACAGACAATGAAAAGATATTAATTTCTGCAATCGTGTTTAAAAATCATAGAAAAATTAAGTAAGGAAGCTTTCACAAAGAAATTAAAAAATTTCATCCTGTAACTTGGAAATTTGCATATTATAAAACACTGATTCATTAAAGTGAAGTCTTTGTCACCATCCAGGGCAAGAAAAACTGATTTTAAGGTAAAATATAACTTCATGGAATTCTTTTTATTGGGACAGAAGTCAGTTCTCTGCTACGTTTAAAAAAAAATAAATTTCTTCGAAAATTTGTTTATAACAGAAAGCCAATTCCTGGAGAGTCAATCGAAGGATCCGAAAACTGTATAATTGCGCTGTCTTTTACTGTAAGACAAAAAAATATTTCTTTGGATGTAAGAGGAGGAGTTTTATATTTTCGTTATCTTTTAATTTTAACAAAAGTTGTAAATTTATTCCTACAAAATTAAATAGTGGAATTACTTGTATTTTCATAAATACAGCCAATTTCAATGTGAACTTAAGTAAATAACTGAAATTCAGTTTTAATTGCGTAGAGTCTAAAATGAAATGCATAAACACGCGTGTTTTCATACTTATTGTGCTAAGAGTAAAATTGGAAAAAAAAAAAAAAAAAAAAAAAAAAAAAAACTATTTAAAAAATATTAAAGAAATCTTATAATCTATTTCTCTTTATTTAAAAATATACCAAGGAAAATGTTTCTGCAATTCCTATTTAGTAAAAAAAAAAAAATCAATATTAAAGCATTGCATTGATGCGTTTTTGACACTTTGCAGTTAAAAGATGTAAATTTATTCCTACAAAATTAAATAGTGGAATTACTTGTTTTTCATAAATACAGCCAATTTCAATGTGAACTAAGTAATAACTGAAATTCAGTTTTAATTGCGTAGAGTCTAAAATGAAATGCATAAACACGCGTGTTTTCATACTTATTGTGCTAAGAGTAAATTGGAAAAAAAAAAAAAAAAAAAAAAAAAAAAAAAAAAAAAAAAAAAAAAAAAACTATTTAAAAATATTAAAGAAATCTTATAATCTATTTCTCTTTATTTAAAAATATACCAAGGAAAATGTTTCTGCAATTCCTATTTAGTAAAAAAAAAAAAAAAAAAAAAAAAAAAAAAAAAATCAATATTAAAGCATTGCATTGATGCGTTTTTGACACTTTGCAGTTTGAAATTTCACACTTTCAATTTTCTGCTGCCAAAATTATTCAAAAAACATCTTCCATTGGTGAATTGGATTTTTTAGAGGCATTTCACATTCAAAAAATAAATCTTTGTCTTCTAGTTAACAACCCTACTTCCAATTCATCTTTGCCTTCAGCCTTTAAAAATATTATGTTGTAGTTCTGATTTCATCAACAGAGCACAGTAGCTTATCTCCTGTCCAGGTTAATCATTATATCATATCTCGTTCATTTGCGCTTTTGCAGCTGAGGATGATGGTTCGGTAAAAGTGATTTGAAAATTTGAAAATATAACACTAATTTTTGTTGTTTGACTTTTAAATTAATATTTGTTCAGTATTACAGATTAAGCAAAAAAATTGATAATTTGGAAATTAAGATCGGAATTAAATAATTTGGCAACTATCATTGTGTTGATTTACAAATCGTTTAATTCAAAAAGAAACATTTCGTTATATAACAAAATATTCGAATAGGTAAATTGACTACAAACAGTGACCGACTAAAACGGTTTTTCTTGCATCCTATTATCAAAATAACTTAATCTCTTTTTGTGGAAGAAAAGCAATGGAAAAGCAAAGAGAAATGGAGAACAGAAAGCAGTATTAAAAGCTAAACAATTAAAAAAATATTCCAAGACAAATGGAATTTTTTAATGTATTTCTGTTTAGAATAAGGGTAAAAAGGTATTAAATTAAGAAATATAGTTATTATTATAAGAAATATAGTTAATATAAATATTGCAAGCCAAAGAGGATTTTTTAAATATTTCTTTTTTGAATGAGGGAGAAAGATATTAAATTAAGAAATATAGTTAAATTTTAAGAAGTTATAATAAGAACTCAGATTTTTAATACAGTTTAGAAATTTTGGAAAAATATGATGTGTCTTTAAATATTAAATTCTAAAGAATAAATGCAAAATTATGCAGCTTCTGAGCAGGTAATACTTAAAAGTATTTGCAATTTAATAAACTTACAAAATGTCCGTATGATCACTTTTGCATCATATATACTATGTCCTGCATTTTCTGTATACTATGGTTCATATATATATGTAATAAACATAAAAGGATTACAGTTACATAAGCTTAATATGGTGAGATAAAACCTTAGTACGACTGAGAAAATTTCAAATGACTACATTGAAAATTTTCAATAATGTAAAAATTTCAAATATTATGGAAATATTTTAATAACTTGAAGAGTGTAATTCTTTACCGGATCACTAAAACATTGTTGTAGTTACCTGTTCACTAAAATAGGAGAATATCACGCTAATCATTCAGAAAGTAATCCTGTATCGCGTGACATTCTTTTGCATCTTTAGTGACATTACATTCATGGTACTTAATTAGGTTGCATTCATGTCACTCTTTGGCGTTATATTAAAGCCTTAATGAATGTCAAAGTGTGACTTCACAACAACGTTGCTGCGTTGTTGTGAAGTCACACTGCGACGTAACTTCAATAGCACAAAATGTGACTTCACATCAACGTCAAAATATGACATCACAAAAAGCCGACATTAAGCCATATCTACAACATTACTACGACAATGAGATCGTTACAGTGTGACACGTTTGCAATGTCATAATGACCTTGACGTGCTGTTTTTGGAACTACTGCTCAACTGCCTTTTGAATTTTACAGATAACTGAGTCCCTGATACCGGAAGTTTACCGAAAAATGTGTACTTTTTCCCATGATGCCTTTCGAAATCGCTGATGCAATGTAAGGTTACCAGAATAAATTTTAGAGCCAAGTGCATTGTTCAAAAGTAGCCAAGCTTTTGTTCAATCTGTCGTTGTTCGTAGTAGTATTGTTAATATTAGGTCGTTCGGCGTGTTGTAACGGGCTTGTAATTTTGAAGTTTTTATAACTTGTAATCGACTATGAAGGTTCTGATAACCGGTGATTCCATGATTAAATATATGTACCAATATTTACCGTCTCAGCTGTATGATAATAAACTGCATGCTCTCGCGTTTCCGGGCATAACAATAGAAAGGTTGACCAAAAAAATTTCATCCTTTAATGAATACGATTGTATCCTTTTTCATGTAGGGACCAATAATATGGATTCTACTGTGGATGACAGTGTCTTAAAATATAAAAGTTTAATTCGGGAAGTGAGTAGAGTGAATCCGTATGCGCGGGTAGTCATATCAGGAATTTTGCCCAGAGTGGATTCGAAGTATTTAACTTTATAATGAGAGAGACGAATTGCGACCTCGACTGCGCTCTGTCAACAACAAGAGTTCTCAGTTTGATGAAAAAATGATTGATCTCTGTGAAGAGCTGGATAATGTAACCTTCTGCATGTCATCTCGTGACTGGAGTGGATGCATGGCTCTGGATGGGCTGCATTTGAATGCAGCAGGAACACGGCAGTTAGCTACACTGTTTGTTCAAGTTTTGACGCAACTTTTAACTGAGAGTTCCAAAAGTACCAGTAAAATAGAGCTTCGAAGTTCATTGGATTTTCCTCCTCTCTGTGATGGCGGCAGCGATATTTTAACATTTTCAGCCTCTCCTCTGTATTCTGAAGTTGTTGCTGAATCAGCTCTGTCGAGGTATGTATATATATATATATATATAATTTCTTTCCTTCTTCGAAATTCAAACACAAAGAAATATTTTTACAGCAAGGCATTAAATATTTAAGCAATCTGTTTGTCAGCCAAGCTATGAATTTCTGAATCATACTAAGCAACTGTTGAACTATCAAAATCTTTATTCATTTTTCTTTTTAAAGTAATGAAATTTGACAAGTAAAATTCAGTGCCTAAGAATACAAATTGTATATTGTTTTCTTGAAAAAACTTAATGCTTCCTTGATAAAGCAGCTATTGCATTTAGTTGTGACAGCTGGAGAACGTAATCGCCCAGTCAATAACATTCAAATTTCTAATGTTCTCAAAGGCTTATGTAGTGGCTTCTTTAATGAGGAATTTTTATCTGTCATGGATCATTTCAGTGCAGAGGCAGATTACAGAACAAGAGGCCCAAGACTGAGTTCCTTATTTTATTATATATGTGCTTATTATTCTTCCCAACACTGTAAAATTCAAATTTTCTTTGTTGATGACACAACTATTCTCATGCAAGTTCAAACACTAGAAAAAAAAATCCATATTCAACTGCAAAATTATTTCTGTTTGTAGAAATATGGTTAGAGATACTCAGTGCAAAGTTCTGTTTCACACGCAAAAAAAGTTTAACTTGCTATCCATTCCCATGTTATTTCAAGGCTACAATGCAAGAAATCACATTTGCATGTAATCTACTTGATAATAAACACACTTTTAAATTTCACTTTGCCAAACTCTGAAATAAATTCTTTATTTCTGTGGCAAGCTTGAGATATTTTCTTGGAAAATAAGTAATTTTTCCATTCACAATAAAAAATTAGGCAAGTAAATTTTATTTGTCTTATATGTTCTGTTGGGATTACACAGGTGATAAACATCAATTTGTTTCAAACTGTAGCTGTTTAAAAGACATTAACCTTGTGACTACAGATCACTTTCATGCACAAAGAATTACAATCAGATAAATATTTGTGTGTGTTTATAATAAATCTTTTTAAAGTGCATCACTTTGAAATCAGTCCTTGTCCTATGATTCTAACATGCTGCAAATGACGCATCTATTAAGATAACGGCAAATTTGAAAGTGAATGATGAAGTACAGAGAATTTTTATATGTACATGTAGGATATTTTGGTACAAAAGAATCAGTCCTTTGCCAGTCTTAATTTAATAAATGGCATTTTTGCTAGTGATTAGTATGTATTTCTTCTGGTTTCTGAAAATCTGAACGTCATAAATGGCTGAGTTTATTAACTATATGCATTATTGTTAGTGTTTATGTATATATGTTATAACTTACCAGCTGCTCATTTAATATTTGTTAAGAAAATAATACAGCCTACTAGGCAGTTAATCTTCTGATTGCTGAAAATATTGCCTAAAGTCACTGCAGAGGAGAGCATCTTCTAATGAATCATCACTGCTGAGGGGAGAAAACGCATCCCCCCATGGCCTTAATTTTTGCATAGCTGTCAAACTTACCTCAGAAACTGTGTGGCTGTTCTATTTAATAAATTGCTTATGGAAAAATAGTATTTAAACAGTAACATATATAAGCTACAGAATAAAGGGAAAAAACAGCATACAGGATAGTTTACAGTGCATTTTACAGCTTGACTTTAGCTTTGATGCTCTAAAATTGTTTTTTTACAAAATAATGCAGAAAAGTGTAATCATAATTATTTTATTCCACAGGAAACTGCCATCACAGTTGAATGTGAAAGCTCCTTCAGAAACTGAACAGCAACTTCAAACAAGGTAGCTTTTTTATGCAAATGCATGAAGTACTACAGAATCTATAAATTTTTGTTCATGAACTCTTTGCTCTAAATTGATATTTATTATACTTCATTGCATATAAATTAATTTTTTAAACAGAGAATTTCAACAGTGTTCATCTGCTGCTGTTACTCAAAAGAACCTAAAGGAAAATTCTGAATTGTCTTCTTTCTTGAGGTAAATGATAATTCATTAGTGGTGAATCGTAATCATTTGTACCCTATGCGGCATCCGTTTTTCATAACAGTTATTCCTTTTTAGTAATTTTGAGATTTCATGAATTATTAAAGAATTGGTAAATTTCTTTTTGTGCAACGGTAAACAAGATATGTTTCCTCCACCTTTCAGGAAATCTGCTCATCCAGATCCTAATGGTTGGATTCATGTAGGGCGAAAACGTTTCACTCAAAATATAGAACAGTGTTGTCAGTTGAGGTGAGATATTGTTTCTAACTTTCCAAGGACAATAAATTAGAGCTTTTATCAAGATTAATTTCTTAGGATGTGGATATGAAATTACTCATAAACATAATGCTTCTATCTCCCATAGGAAGCCTTGCCTGGTTTCACCAAAGAATGTAGCATCTTTGAACTGTAAAACGTATCCAAGGTAAATCATAAATTCTTGTATGCTTAATCAAACATTATTATTTATATTTTTGCAAGTCGTGTACATTTCATTAAATTATTATTCTTCATTTCATATAAATTAATTTTTTTGAACAGAGAATTTCACCAATGTTCATCTGTAGCTGTTACTCAAAAGAACCTAAAGGAAAATTCTGAATTGTCTTCTTTCTTGAGGTAAATGATAATTCATTAGTGGTGAATCGTAATCATTTGTACCCTATGCGGCATCCGTTTTTCATAACAGTTATTCCTTTTTAGTAATTTTGAGATTTCATGAATTATTAAAGAATTGGTAAATTTCTTTTTGTGCAACGGTAAACAAGATATGTTTCCTCCACCTTTCAGGAAATCTGCTCATCCAGATCCTAATGGTTGGATTCATGTAGGGCGAAAACGTTTCACTCAAAATATAGAACAGTGTTGTCAGTTGAGGTGAGATATTGTTTCTAACTTTCCAAGGACAATAAATTAGAGCTTTTATCAAGATTAATTTCTTAGGATGTGGATATGAAATTACTCATAAACATAATGATCTCCCATAGGAAGCCTTGCCTGGTTTCACCAAAGCATGTAGCATCTTTGAACTATGAAACGGATCCAAGGTAAATCATAAATTCTTGTATGCTTAATCAAACATTATTATTTATATTTTTGCAAGTCGTGTACATTTCATTAAATTATTATTCTTCATTTCATATAAATTTTTTTTAACAGAGAATTTCACCAATGTTCATCTGTAGCTGTTACTCAAAAGAACCTAAAGGAAAATTCTGAATTGTCTTCTTTCTTGAGGTAAATGATAATTCATTAGTGGTGAATCGTAATCATTTGTACCCTATGCGGCATCCATTTTTCATAACAGTTATTTCTTTTTAGTAATTTTGAGATTTCATGAATTATTAAAGAATTGGTAAATTTCTTTTTGTGCAATGGTAAACAAGATATGTTTCCTCCACCTTTCAGGAAATCTGCTCCTCCAGATCCTAATGGTTGGATTCACGTAGGGCGAAAACGTTTCACTCAAAATATAGAACAGTGTTGTCAGTTTAGGTGAGATATTGTTTCTAACTTTCCAAGGACAATAAATTAGAGCTTTTATCAAGTAACCAAACACATTTTCAGAAAAAGGGACTGAAAAATGTTGTTAGAGCTGGCATATGGGAATCCATTTTAATGGATTGATCCCAGCTGAATATTGGGCAGCTCAGTTCAATATTCAGTTTTCTGCTGATGACCCACTTAGGTCAAAGTAAGAAATATATATATATCTTAATGTAATGCAATCATTATACAGGGTGTGAATCAAAAGTTTAAAGACTTACCTTGAAATAGAAATTTATTGGACATTTAAATACAGCGGACTAAAATTCTTCAAAATATAATACTTCAGCATCAACACAGCGTGCCTTCCACTGTTCGTAGCCCTTCTGGAAGGCCTCGAGTGTCATGCTGTCAAGGGCTCTCGTCGAAGCCTGTTGGATGGGGTCGAATCGCTTTCCTTTTAGGACTGTCTTGATTCGGGAAAAGAGGAAAAAGTCACTTGGAGCCAAGTCGGGACTGTAGGGTGGCTGCGTCAGTGTTATCACATTGAACTTGACTCAAACGTCGGCGGGTGCATTGTCGTGGTGCAGAATCCAGACGCCGGGCGGACTCGATCCCTCAAGCGGCGGAGCACTCCAACATAAAAGTCACCTGTGACAGTCTGTCCACAAGCAACAAACCCTTGTGAATCACTCCTTGACAATTAAAAAAGCAATCAGCATGCACTTCACACGCGACTTGCTCATGCGAGCTTTCTTGGGCTTCGGAGAGGAAGCAGTGTGTTATTTTGAGCTTTGATACTTCGACTCAGGATCGTACTCGTAGACCCAGGTCTCATCACCAGTCACCTTTTTCTCCAGAAGGTTCAGATCAACATTCAACCGTTGGAGCATTTCCTGGCAAACAGTCATGCATAATTTTGCATAACATCTGTATATACGCACAGAATAAATGACTTCTTTTCCAAAAGGAATTTTTCAATGATGTCTGTACATACATATGTATTTATCTCACATAACTAAAAAAGATTAGCCGTAGAATGTTTGTTGTATATGGGACTGCTATAGTTGTGCATCTCTCTTTTTATTGTAATTGCCAGAACCAAATATACACACACACACCTTTACCTAGCCTTAATTTTCACAATCATTGGCCCTAGTCTATACTCCCAATTATCATTGAAATGCTTTAAATGATGAAAATAGTTGTGTTTTGGCGATGTAAAACTTTTTTTAAAAAATTATTTTTGACAAATAACGAAATCTATTTTAATGCGATCTCCAGCTTCCTTATGTCTGCAAAAATATCTGGGACATTTTTATACTCATTATAAAAAATGAAATTATGAGAAGTTTGACTCCCATGTGACAAAGACTGAGCAGTGTTTTAAATTTCAAAATCTGCAGTTTTTGTATAATTTAATAAGTAATGTGATGTGCACATCAGATTTTGCATATGTATTTTAAAATTTTATACTCTTTAATTTACTTCTAGTAATAATGTATTAGATTGAATTAAATTGTATAATATATGTTTCTGATGTTATTTTTATTTTAATGTTTGAATTTGTGTTGAGTCAGAATACATACATGCGAGCATCTCAGTCAATGGATGAAAATATGACTTTTTAAGTAAATTCAAAATAGTTTCATTCAAATAATTTTGAAACTGATAAAAAGCTTTCAGAGATTTGTAAAATAATAATAATTTGTAATTGTCTCCCGAATCCTTCTCTTGTAAACATTGTATGGTAAAAATCTGAAAATATTAGTATATATGATGTTTGAATGCATTCAAATCAAATAGATATTTATTGAAATTGTTTTGTTCTAAAGAGTTTATGTTCATAATGTATATTTTAGCATCTATAATCAGAATTACCTAAATCAAGCTTATGTTTGTTTGTCCCTTCATAATAACTGATGGGCAACAAAAATAAGCTTGTTTTAGTACCTGACAGATTGAAGGAAAACCAGCACCTGTATATCTAAGTGGGTACTTTGCTGGGCCTTGCTAAGTACTTGCTAAGTATTGCTGGGCCTTGCTAAGTACTAAGCTTCCACCAAAATGGAATTTTGAAGAAGAATGCTCTGAATGTGGTCAGAAAGTCTCCTACCACCAACCTCTCAAGGATTTTGCCTCACCTTCTGCTTTTAGTGCTCCTTGCTAAACAACCATTACACACTTACATTACAACATCCATGCCTTCTTTGGGATTTGAACTCGAACCTTTTGGTATGATAGGCAGCGTCATTAACTACTATCCTGTCTGGGTGCTACAGCATAGTGTTGCTATAATGGAAGATGTCTTGGTTCTGTGAAGACATGAAAACAATCACAAAAGAAATGATGCCTTTCTGCATGTGAAGGAATTCTTTGTGAAGTATGCTCTTTTGTCAATCGAAACAAAATTCAGAAATCACTTGGATGCACAAGCAGATATGCGAATTGCTATTAACAATAAAGTGCCACAATTTGGAAAAAAATATCCAATACAGAGGAACAGAAATAGTTATTAATTATTGTTTTGAAAAATTTATGCAAATATTAAATTTTGTAATATTTTTTTAGTTCCTTTTTTATTTTTGTTTATTATTAAAATTTGATTACATAACTGTTTTCTTTTTCCTCACCCTCCCTAGAAACTTTGTTAGGGGCTGCAAGAATATAATTTTTTAGAACTGCTAGACATGGAAAAGTTTGGGAACCTCTGTCTTAGAAGATGATATTGTGAAGTTCAGTTTTGAACTAATAAAGAATACTGTATATGTACATATAAAAAAAAATCTAATATCTATGTGAATATGTTTCAAACCTGTTTCTGAATATATATATATATTTATTTATATTTACATAATACACTTAAAAAAGGGAAGATAACTAAAGTTTTCATTTAATAAACTAAATATACATGCAGGAGTAGTGTTTGACCTACTCCACTCTCATGTAGACATTACTCCTGCATGTATATGCAGGAGTAGTGTTTGAGCCCAATACTGGCATATGTATCTATAGGAGTGAAATCATTAAGCAACTGGGAAACAAAATAATTTTGCCCTTTACAACATTAAATTTTTTCCATACATCTAAAGCATTCTTAGTTATATTGCTGTCATAAAATCTGGTCTAAATTTTTGTGAAATGTAAGTTAGTACATTGCTTATACCACTTGTCCATCAGAGTTCTTATGCAATCATTGGTTGTATGCATATATTGGAGTTTAAAAAATGATTTAAAAAAACATGTAACTTCAAGTTGCATAAGTCAGGTTTAACTCTACTTGATATGGGATTAAGACCAGGAAATTAGCTAGATGCTTTTAAACATGGACTGTTTATTGTATGACATTCTAACTCGATGAAAAGGAGATTATCATTTGCTTATATTATACATATCAATAAGTGTGGTGTTAACTTATTCTGAGTCTTTACATGCGGAAAGATCTTGAATAATCATAATAGTGCAACTTTATACCTGTTACTTGTGGTGTTTATGTTGCAGCAGTATAGGTAATTATTTCTTAGATTCGATACATAAAACCCGAAAAGACAGATTCCTGTGGTTTACACCTTTTGTTTCCTTTCTATCATCCACATCAGAGCACTTTTGGACTGACAGATTTCAAGTGTCCTTAATGTGCTTAAGCATAACAGTAAAAAATAGCTTATTTGAAATTCGAATCTTGGCACAAGTGAGTCGGTTCTGAACCATATTGATCAAGTTGCTGCATAGCAATGAATTATCTAGGATTTATATTTCAGAAAACACAAACAGTTCATTGCTTCTGGCAAAAAAAGGGGATGCAATGTCACAAAATAAGCGAAATGTAATCACAGAAAAACGCAATGAAGTTCATTCACTATGACATAAATCAACAGTGCTATGTATTAAATCGATGAAGAATTAGCAATTTAAAAAAGACTGGAAGAAAAATAATAGATCGAATAAGAAGCAGACTATATTACTTAAAATGAATGACTCATAAAATTTCTGGGCTGGCGTAAACATTCAGGAAATGTAGTGTTAGAAGAATTAATGTGCAATTTGAGAATACGGTCAATGCGTGGGAAGGTGCAGAAAGAACGTCTATGCATACAACGTCGAATATATAATTATTGTTTGATCAGTTGACTTATATGAAAACCGGTTCTTTGGAGAAATCAAACGAGAAACAGTGCTTCAAACGAAACATTTTCATTTAAGTATAAAATTATCTCGCTAGCTAGGCGAGACGCAGTTTTCAACGAAACATGTTTCGGTTAGGAACACTTCAGTAGTACACTGTTGGCCATTAAAATAGCAACACCGTGAAGAAAAGCAAATACAAAAAAGATATTTATTGCACGTAAAAACTGTATGGCATACGACGTGCAGTCTCCTCGCTGCCTCCAGACACATATACGGCCATCAGAATATCGCACGCTGAACAGGGTCATGTCTGAAAAGACAACATTGTGACATTCTTTTATCCAGCTTTGTCGTTTGGTGCACCAGAATCACCGTCTCTCTCTATGCTGCATTTTCAAGGGAAGCCAAAGTAGCGGTCATCGTGTTGATAGTTCACTCCGCTGCAGGGCTTAAATTTTAAAATTATAAGTGCCGGAGCCTTATGGAAGACCGCCAGCAAAGAGCAATAAAAGTAAATAAATTAATTAAATGACTATTAAACTCATTAATAATTTTTAAATTAAACAGTTAATTATAATCAAATTAATTAATAGCTATTTAATTAAAGTTTATAGATTTTATTCAATTAACAATTATTATATAATTGATTATAATTTAATTGATAATTATTATATAATTAATTATTATTTATTGAAATAATTAAAACTAAAATAAATGTAAAGCAACAAATTAAAATGTCATAAGCGATTTTTAATATAATTTTATTGCTAAAAATAAAATTTTCGAGTTAAAATTTCTACGGAAATTGTTATTCAGTTATATAAAAGAATTGCCGCAGCCTTCTTATTTAGGGCTCCGGTGCACTCCGGCTAGAATTGTAATTTAGCTTAAAAATTGAGAAGTACCAGAGCTGGGCTCCGGTGCAATTTAAGCACTGCTCTGCTGCAAACGTCGAAGCACCGTACGAGCGGATACTCGGCGTACTACAAACATAACATTTCCTAACTAATGGTTCGTTATGTGTTTGTGCGGTTTTTTTCAAGGCTAACCTCACAATATGTCTGTCCTCTCGAGCGTTAGTCAGGAGACGGCGTTGAGATCCTGCATGCCGTTCAGTATGACCCTCAGCAACCCATTGATTATATATTCGCATGACAGTGATTGGATGTCGACCAGTGCGACGGGCGATATCGCGGAACGATAATCCACACTCTCTATGGGAAACAATCCTGCCTCTACCGAATTCCGACTCTTGCTGGTAAGAATTTCGTCTTAATATTTGAGGCATAACACTATATTCTGAGAAAACTCTGGCCGTACAAAGCGCGTTTCGAATGAGAAATCCACTATACAACATTTTTTATGCAATGCGTCAGATGTCTTTTCTCCCTCCTGCATGCGCTTAAATTCTAATCCATTTGCATACCAAATCTCTTCTTCCTTTCACGTGCTTTTATCGTTCGTCACATCATTCCTTCCTGGTGTTGCAATTTTAATGGCCAGCAGTGTAGGTGAAGGACAAGCTCATTTCCCGAAAAAAGCAGTGTGCTTATATAAGCCTTCTCTTGTCTTACTTAAAACTGCCTGAGCAAGGTTTATTCAGTTAAGCATATCGACTAACGTGTCAACGTTCTATAACTTTGACTACTTATTTCACAGTTTTGTTTGCATTAGCTAATGAGAATGTATCCGAATACTCAATATAATCCAAATGAATAAATTCGACAGCGACTGCATTACCACTTTCATGGGAACGGACTGATCTTACTGATGCATCGTCTGACCTGAGAACCAGAATTCTGACAAGAGTGTAATACAGTTAGAACTATATTGTTACTAAGTATTACAATAAGGCATTCAGAATCACCAAAAGGACAGACGCAGAGCTAGAATGGCAGTTTCTGGGAAGGATTGTGGGATAGCAAGAGTTACTGCAAATTAGTTGAAAGCTTCTACCATTCAGCATCACTTACCTACATACTCTAGACGTGTAGTTTTAAAAAACAGTGTTGTAAGGAAAGGTGGTTTGAATTTTCGGCGTCTGTTGCAATATCCATAACTCCTAGGCATGGAGAGCAGAATAGAACACTGGAGACGAACTCCTGCCCTGGATTAACTTTCAGAAAAAATCCTCAGATCTGCAGGAGACCATTCAGGCGGACGTAACTCCGCGGGTCTCCTACGGGCTTTATATATATTAACATTGGACGAAACGATAACGCTCAGTCAATAAAAGTTCCGATTGGGTACCAGTCCGGTAGCAATGATTATATTTGATGTGTTGTTCCATCTACTAAGTGCACCAGAGGACCGAAGAGCCAATGACCCAATGAAAACGCCTCATATCTAACCATGTTGCTACCTACAGTGAATAGGCAGACAAGACAGTGCCATATGGTCCCTGCAGGTCCTGAATGGGGCCATATGGTCCTGAACCATCCTCTGAATGAACGTATGTTCTAGTCCTGTAAAGACTGATTATACGTGGCAGAAACTGCCTATGTATAGATCTTAGACAGTAGCTTCCCGATTTTCCGACGTAGATCCCCGGAGAGGGGGCATTGAGAGCAACGTTTATTCTGGTGTTGCGGCTGATAATTTTCGAATGTATCGGGTTAGAACTGGATCATGTTCTGCGATGAATTATGATTTTCGTTAGCTTGGGATTCATACGTGAAAGAAGATTGGCTTACCTTAATTCAGCATAGAAGTCCCGAGTGAGCTGTGTACCCTTTGTCAACGTAAAACAACCATACCTCTGTATATACTGGCATTATTATCTAGGCAGCCAAATTCTACTTAATAACCAAATTTTTACTGATCTTTCGCAGCCCAATAATTTATGGACAAGATCCTGCCAACTTCTGTATTGCCAAAACTATGGCGTTCGTCAGCGATCATCCTTGAGCAAGACAATAGCCAGCTGCATGCGGCCAATGCCTCCAAGGAATGTCTGTTTAATATTACAACCTCCCTTTTGCTTGCCAGATCTTCATTTTTTTTTTCCAAAAAGTGATATGTATGCATAAGGCGTGTTAGGACGACAGTTACAACCATTTGACAACGCGCATAAACCTGATCAACAATTAAAAACTCTTGTCAGCAAGTTTTGAAATTATGTTTCAATTTTGTTTCTGAAAGTGCTTATGGGAATGAAACCAAAGAATTGAGTTGGCACGGAAACTATTTATGTTCCGAAATATGCTCTTCAGCCAATATGAGATCAATTATGCACGGTGACTATCGTTCTCTTGAAAGTTAACATTAGCATCTGGTGGAATAGCATCAATGAAGGAGTGTACGCAGGGCCAATGGTAGGTTCTTTGCCGCACGGTGCAGTCTTTACTGTCTTAACTTCTGCCACCCAGTGCCGCCCTAAATTCTAAAAAATTTGTCTTCCCTAAGTGCTACCGCCCGGTACGGCTGCACAGGCTCC